GTTGAACTAAGATAGAGTTGAGGCAAGAATTGAGGAGAGTTCGGCGGAAAGGTCACAGAATATTCTGCTTGGTTATATTTACAGTTATAAGAAAGAATCATAAGGAACAAAAAAAAATCTGACTAGTTTGCTATATCCTTGCTTATTAGATGACCTGAATATCAGATCTTCACAAAGAATCGTGTAGACTAATCTCCACAGACGCCGATCTTCAGGCCTTTTTGTAGCCGCAGATCGCATCAAATTTCATGTGATCACACTGCAAGGAATAAAAATAAGGATGGTTTGACGTCAACTAAAGAACAGGACACTTGTCATCAGTGGAGAAAAGGTCCGTCACGAAATGTCGGTGGTGTAGGCTTTGTCGTACATTCGTCCATCGTCCATCTCATCGACTCATAGAAGACCCTTTCCCCTCGCATAGCCAGCCATCCTCCGTCTTAAACTGTCGCGTTATCAGAAGATCACAATTCACTAACTGCTACTCACCGGCCGACGCAGCTGATGATTACGAACTAAATGCGTTCCGCTATCAGTGGGAGGAAGTTGTCCCCGGTGATAAAGCATGTCATAAATTTGTTGTCGGAGACTTCAACACCAGAATATGAAAGGCCAATGAAGGTAATAAAGGGTCGAAAATTTCGGATTAGGAGAAGGAAATGAGAATGGGAACCGTCTCGCAGGACTCCTGTCCGCAGCGTCTCTTCCATGGAAACTCGTTTTTCCAGAGAAAAGAAAGTCACCGCTGGACATGGGAATCTCCCGACGGCATCACTCATGCGGAGATCGACCATATTCTGACAAACAGAAGAAGGTGTTTTCTTGACACATCGGTAGTCCTGTCATGCTGTGCTGGTTCCGATTACCGCCTTCTTCGCGCTAAGATTCGATTCAGCCGTAAGTATGTGATCGACCACGAGGAAAAAGTCAAGCTATATATCACGAAAACATCCTAAACGAAATTCTGTCCAAACGTGACTAGCAGATTAAAGAAAACCCCACCAAAGACTACGAGCTGCTTGTCGAAGGACTGAAAAGCTGTGGCGAATTCACCTCAGTTCTTCAAACAAGAGGATCGGATCGCATCTCAATCACCACTATGGAATTGCTCGAAAAGAGAAAGAAACTGAAGCTTGACCATACTACAACACGATTAACACGGCTGGTAATAAATGTCAATTGCAGAAGAGCTTTGCAGGAAGATCTATTGAGAAAATATCGTCGGCACTGTGTGACTATAACGTTCCCCTTGAGGCCTCGATAAACGAAAATGGGATCGTCAACACTTTCCGCCATTATTTTGAATTGATAACGGAAACGTTCTACACCGACCTTTTCCGTTCCAAAATTTCCATCACGGACTATAATATCACCACTGGAAAAAAACCACCTAGAATTCTTCAGTCTGAGGTTTGAGTTGCGATTGAAAGTATAAAAGGGGCACAGCTCCAAGTATCACAGCCGATTTCCTTAAAGCTGGGAGCCACAATTAAGTTGTACTTCTCGCAAATCAAATTCCAGCTTACCTTCAAAAGGAGAAAATGGTAGACTAGTTGAGGACGTCCCACATGGTCATCCTGCCCAAGGAAGGTGGCCGAAGGAATCTTCGTAACTATCGTGCGGCATGCTTGTTGAGTGTACTCTATAAGCTCTTCATGAAGATTATCCTCCCAGGTATATCAAAAACATTGGATGAGGTGCAACCAGTTGAGCAAGCAGGATTTCGATAAGGATTCTGCTGTATGGGACCACATTAAAACTGTGTCCAGGGTCATCGAAGTTTGTAGGGAACACCACCTACCTCTGGTCCTAATCTTTGTCGACTATGAAAAAGCGTTTGACAGTGTAGAAACGAATGCAATCCTATCAGCCAGCGCTCGTTGACCGAGGAGTGGACCCATCCTACATAAGAATTCTATCTGACTGTTACCGGAACTGCACCACGAAAATACAACTTTTCCATCGACCTCTTAACATACATACAGGAAAAAGGGGTTCGACAGAGAGACACAATATCGCGAAAGCTGTTTAGAGCCGCAATGTAGAGGACAATGAAATCACTCGATTGGGACGAGAAAGCCACCCGTATTGATGGAAAATCCTATCAAAGCTTCGTTTTGCTAACTTCTCATTTTTCTTTCGACGTTGTCTTCTCCAGAAGTACCAGCGAAGCAGAGAGGATGATCAATGAGCTTAAGGGAAAAACGAGATCCAGGAGAATGTAGATAGAAAGCGAATCATAGATGGATCGGTCACGTAACGACAAGAACAGAAGCAGATAGAGGAAAAGAACTGTACAGTGCACTTCATGAAAATGCAAACGTCCCCTAGGACGGCTACCTGCACGTTGAGCGGATGTGTTTGTAAAGAAAATTAATCAGCTGTACTCGCAGTTACAGTTATTTTACAGATCACGGTATGAGACTAGCACGCACCATCATGATCGAATGACACCACCACAAAGGACGACGATTGCGAGAGAAAGAAACAAATGGCAAATATTCTGGGTCCGCACAATCCGTGAAGACGGACCGTCCAAATATCCAAGTAAGTATAACTACAGCGGTGCTAAATAACGAAACATGATGGGACTTGATAACAGTGCCTGAAGAGCCGCTGAATCAAGTTCATTCGAATCAGTCTTCAAATGATGTTGCTCCATTCGGGAGATGCTATACCGCAGAAAGTTTGATAGAATTCCAAAACGAAATCACTTAGTGTTAAGCTGCCTACTACGCTCAGCAGCATAGTTCCGAACGCGTCACTTTGTACTACTACTACTACTAGCACTCTGCCGCGAAATTATAGTAGGCAGAAAATAAAAAGGTATAACAATGTGATTTCAACTACAGCCGCAGCTTAACCGGGTTCTATGCCGATTTGGGCGCCCCAGATCAATCCCGCTGACGGGTGGTTGTTGTGGCAAAGATCAATAGAAATAGCTGAGAGACAGGCGAAACAAAGGACCCGTATGGTGTGGTGGTGAACGCGTTACTCCCCGGAAAGGACAATAGCGCGTTCGTTCCCCACCATAGCCACCTGCGGTCCAGAGTTTTGCAAATATCTCAGCAACGTTGTGGTTCTACCTACTCACTTTTGACAATGACGCAAGCGCTGAGTGGCTCAATTGTCTCACCGCTCATGACCCCTGGGTTTTTGCTGACAGCGAGTCTAGAATGAAGTACGACCTTGTGCCCGGATGTAGTTTAGCGTTTCACTTCTCTAAATTATTTGCGCGCAACACTTTAAAATTGGTGATGAACGAAGCCGACAGACATGAAGTCATGGAAATCCACAACTTTTGCAAAGGGGCCAATTAATCGATTCTTATCTGCGAATAGGAATTTCTTGGATGCACACATATCTTGCAGTTAGACACACAAATGTAATCGGTGAATGCATGGTACGTCTACTGCTAGAATGTTTAGAAAGTTGCAATAAATCACTTGAAGACCCAGGTCGGCTATTACCTAAAGTTACCAACCTGTCTTCTGGTATCATAATCTCGGAAGATAGACTGGTCTTGGTCATATCTCCAATTAGCCACATCTTCGAAGCACCTCCAAAAAAGCGAAGATGCTGCGTTTCTTTGCTATAAGCACCGACAAGAATTCAGGGCAAGAAATGTTCTAGTGCACGTTCCAATCAGATAAACACTGGACGCAGCCAATTTCAGAAATACTCTGCCTGGATTTCTCCTATAATTCTCACAAATAATGTAAATTACGGGGATATTGCATGGATTGTAAATTGCATGTAGAATGTATGAACTATAAAGGTTGCTCTCTACGATTAACGTAACTTGTGTCCACAGAATATTAATTATAGAAGTTCTCGGTTGCAGAGAATGTAAGGAACAGTAGCTTTACTAATTTTGAGCTGTAAAGCTTAAAAATGTGTTAGGTATAGAAGTTTGTAGTTATGAAAGTAGTAAATTGTACGCATGAAAGAAGAAGTATGTCTACGTAAGAAGAGCTGACTGCAAAGGCCTAGATGAAGAGATTTATTTGAGCGTGACCAATCGGACGTTATAAAAATAGAACCTCGAAATGAGACACGTAGAAAGTGCGAGTAGCTCGGGTAACGCCCAGCAACAACTGTACGCTACAATTCACTCGTAAGTCCTCTCATTGATTTACCATCCACTTTCTTCCGATTGCTCTCCAATTTACAGTCGAAGAGATTCTTCTTTGTTGAGAACTTTCGTGTTGGAGTATAGCAGATACATTTGTTCACAGCGAAACAGCAACTCTATCCGATGACCATTTTCTTCAGTAGCAACACCTGCCTACAAAATGAACCGTATCTTTTATAAATCACTCATTGTACGGAGTAAATCCTCAGGGCTGATGCACAACACATTGATCACCTTTCGACAAGCAAGCAGGTGAATAGAAAAATAGACTCTGCAAAACAAACTGGGCATAACCCTATGCAGGTTACCATGCTCTGCCACGCATGAGTGGAAATCCACTCACGTCGGTATGTCGGTGATACATACGAAGATCCTCTATAGGTTCCCCTCTGCGTATTGTCGGTAACTGGTAGCGCTTTATATGAGCTCTCACCGTCGTACAAACATCACTAACACACTAACGAAATGCATAAACAAACGAAACCAGAAATACTGTACAAATGTCGTACGAAAGGAAGAAGCACTATCATTTATTAGAAGTTTTCTATTCACATGCTACAGAACAATTAACATGATAACCATTTTTAAAACCAACATCCATACAAACAACGTTTTAAGTACACTGTACATAATAGTACAATCAGCTCTTTTATCGTCGTCTCGTGCCACCAAAACCTAAAATGACTTCCAAATAATACGATTTTATTTACTCAACAGTGATTTGCGAAACCCTTAAAAATAATGGGAATGTTCCGTTGCAGAAAAAAAAACTATTTGTGGACAGACTTCCATCATACTGCATACATAACAATGCTTAGTGATGTTTCAAACCCTTACAAAACAAACAATAAAGTTAAACAGTTAGTCATTTACGAAATTTGTAAAGCAGCTTACCAGTACTCTCCCTCATTTCCGAAGAACTGGGTTGATCAAAATCAGCATAGTTTGCATCGGCCGTCCTTACAAAGTGCTCGTCTGCACGTCTAAATCCATTTGGCGAAGAATTTCTGAGTAATTTACAAATCAGACGAGGCAATTTAGCAACAGCTCAACAATCGGCTTACGTATTTCTTCCGAAAAGATATCCTCCAAGTGCTCCTAAGCCAGCTCCAGTCCAGAATCCTGGACCACTACTGCTTGATGGTGTTGAGTAAGCACTTTTGAAACCCATAGTATCTTCGTAACTTGGTGGAGCACTTGGACGAGGGTGCGCACCAGGATAACCACCTCCAAACCCTGGTCCGCCATCAAAGCCACCTCCGAACCAACTAAAACACTTCGTGATGCTAGAATAACTAGCATGTGTGGAAAAATATATAACAATGTGTAGATTTTCTGGAACAACATAACATCCTCATTGCGTATGTAGTGAAAATGAGGCACAATGTGCCACTTACGTGTGAAATTACTGCACAATATTTTGACATTAGACTAGGCAACAGATTGAACTGCCACAGCAATACAAAGTTCTATGCTAAACTAATTGATGGTCGCCCATGAAACAAAACAAATGTTGATTAATTAACTAGTACACTACCGACTAACAACCTCCACAAATCACAAAAGGCTCAAGGGTGTTGTAGTAGGACTGATTAAATCGATGAGGACTAACCTGCTGCATATACTACCGGGTAGATAACAACAACCCACCACTACCTATACATACCAGCCTTCTAAGAAAATTACATCTATAAATTGAGACCGATACACCAAAGAGACCCACGCCTAGTTCACTTGTATAAGACCATAACGTCCAAAATTCTAACAACTAGTATATTTCATCGAACACAGTTAATTCCGTCTCCCTTAAATAGTTAAGCATCAATAAATATGAACGCGAGATTCTAACACGAAATGGCACTGAGCCTTTTCTAACGCTATATTCCTATATAATAATGACACATCTCGTTTTCCTGAAAATAAGCAAACTGCTATCAATGGGACCATTTCAGATCTTATAAAGGATAACGCTCCCCGCATTGAACACTCCCTGAGAGATGCGCCATGCATCCGACTTCAGTAAGCATCGTCGGAGGGACTGAATATGTATATGGCTTTCAGAATGACTAGCAGTGGCTTAATGGTGTGTCGACCCAGTGTTGCTATCCTCCCTGACATGTCTGACACCAATTTTCCGACCCTCGAGGGATGGAACGCTTGGTGGGCCATAGGCGCAGGGATCGACTCCACTGCGCTACACGCGCCCTTTTTCGTATTTTATACGTTGCAAAATGAAAGAGATTAAATATGTAGAGTGTACAGAGTTGTGCTAAACAAAGTACTAATACCTCATCGAAAAATAAAAAATATCACTAAATCCCTAAACAATAGCCAGCGATACAAACTTTATGGATCGCAGAGAGATTGCTTACATTCGAAATATTTTCCACAACAAACTCCTTATAAATAACAGATACGATATTTTGTAAAGTTACCCATATCTCGGCGTGGTTCGTCCTGGACTCCCCGAACTAGATAACATGGAGTATATCACATAGATAATGAAAAGTACGACAATCACGTTTACTATGTTCTCCGACGTTAACCTAAACACTACTAGACCTTCAACATAAACACTAGTCACAATGGTCAGTGTAGGTACTACTCACCAACGAGGCCAAGAAAACAAAGAAGGCCACTTCATTTTACTCCTTCCAACCTCCTTTGCCGGTTCAGCGTATTCCAGTTCGTATTCCAGCTATAAGGAAAGAGAATCACTATGAACACAAAAACAACAGTAGATAGAAACTAAATGCTTCCGAAACTACCCACACCACAGCTTCCTTTGAGAATATACGGGTCATCTGGATAATTATAACCTTCACAAGTTACAGTTACCTGAAATTATACGAAGTTAGCTGTTATCACTTAAAAAAAAGGAACTGAACCATGAAGAAGTGTGTAAAGTGTAGACAACTTCCAAAGGTGGTCACAAAGAAAGTTTGGGAAGGGGAAAATCTGGAGAGAAATAATTCTAGGTAAAGCATATTTCAAAAAAGGCATGAAAGGTGGAAAAGTTAACCCTGTCTCAGCCATAAACCTAAATGCTCCTGCATAGCTAAACTGGTATTCTATTTACTTAACATTTGTGAACTCCTCTGGTCTGGTTTTTTTCTAAGCAAACCAACGAGCACCTTTCATACATGAATCAACAAAGGGTTAAACTATTGAAATGACGATTAATCAACTAAATGACCTAAGAGCCTTACAAATCTCAAAAAAAAGCCATTATTGGGACAGGGGGGTACAGCTACCCATGCACCGATGATTACCATAGATGTCCTGACGCTTGACGTACAATAGATGACTTTACAATCAACACTTTAGCAGGCTATAAGAACCAGCAACGCAAAAAGGTCACCGATTCTTGCAAGCCCTGAGTTCTGGCTTCACTCTTAAACTCGTGTAATTAGTCATCAAAAAAGCGTAACTATTGAGGTAGCTAGGTACAAAAGCTCCTTAATATCCACACATTTCGATATAACAATCATACAAACCATTCCGAACTTATATTGACGAGGCATGTCTGCAGTGCATTTCCACTGGTAATCGGAACCATCATATCCTTGCTTAACGCACTGTACGACTCTTGGTTGGTATTTATAACATGCACCACCTCCAACACATTTCAGCTGAGGTACTGGCGCTACTCGACGCCCTGAAAAAAGCAAAGCAAATTTGCTGGTACAAGGAAGTAGGTAATCATTAACTGCTTACTGTAGAAATAGTTACCCTACAATCCTATACAGTTTCAACAACAGAAAATAACAGATAAAAAACTTTAGGTGCTTGGATATTCCGTTTTAGAAACGAATAGGCATAAACAGAATCCCCTTCTAACTAATAAAAAGACAAAGGATAAAGCTCTCGGCGTTCATCAATCCCTGAGGAATGCGCCATGCATTCGACTTCATCAAGTATCGTTGGAGGTGATTGAATGCAAATCTGGCGGTTACAATGACTCGCAGTGGTCTACCAATATATCGAGCCAGTGCTGCTATCCTCCCAGACAAGTCTGGTACCAATTTGACGACATCGGAGCGATGGAAGGCTTGGTGAGCGTTGGGCGCGGTATCGATCCCAAGTGTATCTATCGCTGGGCGCCTCCGACACTTCTCTGCAGACTCTACGATAGTCGTTCAACGTATTCTACCAGGAAAGAATGATTTCTGAAGAACAAAGAAAAAGGTCTACATCTTGCAACATAGCTCCTCCACGAAAGGCTGTAACTGGGTGAGGGATGAATACTCAAATGTTCATTACAGTTCACCACGTGGGAGCACATCGTCAAAATGTGGCATTACCATTAGGAACACAAACGGCAGAAAGCCTAACAATTACCACAGAGATATATTAACAGTTTGAGAAACAAATCCGCTATAAACGTGTGGGCGTAGGTGCACGATATAGCCGAACCTGTTGTGTACTGGCCTTCTTTTAATGTGATGGTATTGACATCCTGTAGAAGCACTCGTTCGTCGACACAATCTGGAAAAAGGAAATGCCGGCGAATAACCTTAAAGTGCAGAACACAAAAAGGAAAAAGCTTCATTTAAATCATAAAGTGCGATTGCACCACCATTACAACATGATGCAATGATATTGGGTTCTAACGATCCATTTAAATGGTTTCTTTTTCTGAAATATTAAGAACCTAGTGGGCATAGGCTTCATTGATTCGACGTTGATCCCAGAAAGTACTTAAGACACCGACTTCATCAAATAATCGACGTACATTGTGGAAAATTCTAGTAGAAAAAAATCATATACGTTTGGACGGGAAGTACTTACAGACACTGCAACACGCACCTCCGAAAATCAATACCAGTAGGACTGTATAGAAAACGATCAGTGCATTAAACGACCACATAAGTCGCCGTTTTTGAGGAAAAAGTACGTGATGGTTCAAACGATGTCGAAACCGACGGCAGCATACCGCATGGTGTGGGAAAACTCGTCCGAGGCGGAGTTTTGCGTCGGTCGCAGCGCGAGCTCCTCCAAGAATGACCTTATTCCATGGTTTTGAGCATTTGCACAGATCACGCGATAAAGATCAGCGTTGATCAATTCCTGGTGATACTCCATGCATTTGTTTCCACTCGTAACATTGCAGAAGTGCTTGAGTGTATATTTGACCTATACAGTAACAAGTGAGGGCATACCACTGTATCGAAGTAGCTATCTTATCCTCCAAGACAGGTATGGTGACAATTTACCGATCTGTTGGACCAAACTAAAGATCTAACTACGCGGTAGGGCTTATCTAACCACTGCGCTATAGAGGCCTAATCGGACGATAAGCATATTTTTCCACTTAAATCTAACGTTAATAACGAAGGATAGAAGTTCGCGTTTTCTGTGTACTGCGCTAAATGTTTGTGATCGGTGAAAGACCAATTGTTGGCTGAGCTTAACAGCTTGATTTCACGAATTCTGGCCAAAACAACACTTCCCATCTGTATTCCCATCTGTATTTACGATGTTCCCGTAACTTTCCGTCATAGTGGCGGCTCGTGACCTGTGTCTTAAGTTCTGCCGATTTAACTTTCTGTTTTAGAGATCTTTAAAGTAGAATGGGAAGGCTAAGGTTGGTTACGAACAAGCAATAACGGATATTGTTGTAGATAATTTCCTTTAAAAAACACACTCTGAGTCAGTTCTTCCAGTTTCCCTGTAGGAGCTACCCTCACCTCATCTAATCTCATGAGCGGTGTTCTTGTCTCGGGTTCCTCGTGAATTAATAACGGAACACAGTAGGTGCCCGAAGCAAGGACAGCGGCAAAATGTCGCTCATCCCCGAAGTGCTCACAGCGGTCGCACTCCAATAGATGCTCAACTAACGTTCGCAACATAAAAACTGCTTGGATCATTCATTATCCTTCAGTTGTAGGTTTCTTATATATTTAGAATCTTGTTATCGATCAGGTGCTTCCATTCATCCATATTTCACAGATTCGTGTTCCTTCCAGGCACTCATTTTTACTTCTTATTTTTCATTTTTTCCCGTTTCTAAAATACTATGTTTCTGTATTTTATACCCTTCAGGCACCGAAACGCTTCTTTACCGTCCTATCATGGAATAATAAATCTATTAAAAGGGACTGAAAAGCGTTCTGGTTAGAGAAGCCGTCCCATAAAGCACGTGTGTGGTCGCTGGGTCGACCCCGCCGTGGACAACCAAGTCTCCCATTCCTCCGAGGCTGGCAACTTGCTACCAAACTCGTCTACGGATGGAATACTCGTCTACGTCTTTCTTTTGTCGTCCTATCATAGAATACTAAATGTATTAAAAGCGACTGAAAAGCGTTCTGGTTAGAGAACTTTGGTTTTTGGCTTCCTCCCATCTACAAAAGGCAGGTATTACCTGTGCTGTGAAGACCGGGAATCACTGTAATAGTACCACCCCAGAATTCCGGAGAGAATCACCTCGACCTGCATTCAACTACATTTGTGGGAAACTCAAGGTCCTAGCAGCCAAACATACATGCATTTAGATAAGGATGAAGTAAGGTCAAATAAATAAATAAACGAGTGAATAAATAATGTATTAAATGTTAGGAGGATATCAATAGGCATTGAATGCTTTGCAGGTGTCTTTTAATTCGACTTTAGTTCTATGTACTTGACTTATTTATGACGTTTTGCTATTTGGATCTACTTATCGTTTAACCATTGGTTTTCCATTTTATTGCAGGATATTCATGGTCTGCAAACGATCACCACTTTTTACGATGACTTTGCAAAACCCAGTAAGAAATTGACTACCTATTTAATCTTCTAGTGAATTGGATGGACACCAGCAAAATCGTCTGGTCGCTTTGATATGGGAGCTGACTATACTCGAGGCTACTTTTCGAAGATCCTGATAGATATTAGATATTTGATTTGAACTGATCTGTGCCCTACAATATTTCAATAGTCTACAACTGTGGCAGAAGTGCTGCAGTCCGCACAATATGTGGTGTCGGATCACGTAGAAAAGTAAGAAATACTTGGGTCCTTTGCCATCTTTTACATATCATTCAGATTCTAGAAGTTCTATATGTATTTTGGGTACTTTGCCATTCCTCAAATATCATTCAGATTCTGCAGTTCTATACGTATCATTTCCCATACTCTTCGGTAGAAATGGCTAGAATCGGAGGTGGATTACATGGTGGCATGACGATTTGTCGTCTCGATTCCTTCTAAGTTTATTGAGTGGTGGTCGACCTTGATTCTTTGAAGAACGCCGACCGTCCTGGATCGGACGGAAATCCGTTGCCTTGTGAACAGGTTTCCTCTAGGACGTCGGTGAATTTTGTGTTCGGTCCGCTAACCGGGTTGTTGATATACTAAATCATGTCCTCATTACTAATACCTTTATTTTTTCTTATGATCGCAGCCTCTATGAATCTCCTCAATGTTTTCCTGTCCTTTATTCGACGACAATGTTGCGCTTTCAAATTTGGGATTTACCTAACTTTTAAATCAACTTTTTATATTCTAGAAACATAAAGACAATGGAAGTCCTTCATGCAGTGGCTCCGTCAACGGTAATGACCCTTAACGTTGTGTTTCGCATCATTGAAATAATGCTGCAAATACAAGGCTTCATCACTTCTGCCATAATCGTTACTGTATTGTCTAGAATACGATCAATGCATTTAAATCTAATGATCGTGCTAAACAGTTTTTTCATATCTTGTCTTATCACATCAGTGATCAGGACATCTATGCTTATACAAGAATTGGCCACTCCAATTGAACGAATAGTTCCGAAAGTGGTCGTTGTATGGCGATTCATGTGGATTGGCGGTGTTTATACAAGTATGTGACGCTACGGTATCGTTGTTTTCATTTTTTATTTGCCCTTTCCATATTTTTCGCTCCTATGCTTTTCATGGCAGGATGCGAAATGAAGTATAACCATGAAAATGCCGTTGGGGTTCGAACCCACAGTTTCATTTACTCGGAGCACATGTGCTATCCACCACCTCAACCGAGGCTCTTGGTTTGGCTTGTTTTCTTTCAGCCTCTCTTTCTCTCTACTTACTTCATAGCTGAAGCTCACAGTAACGAGGGGTTCTTCCAGTTCCTATCGTCTTCCCTAACTTTATCATTTCAGGTTTTCCAAAAAAAAAATACTGCTATTTTTTAAGATGCAGTTCTCTCAATTATGATTTTGCATCATATCCAGTATTTTGGATAAAAAAATTGGGGCCTTATTGGATTTGTATAATATTCTTGTGTCTTACGGTCAATCTTAACCTACGGTATTAATGAATGACTGGATACATCTTATGAATCTCATGATGAACCTTATCCTATCCCCCTATCCCATCTTAACTCATCTTAACCTACTCTTCTTAATCCTGTCTTATCTTGTGGTACACCGACCGTCAGTGCTACATCAGCACGGTTTCTCACTAAGTCATTGAAGGAGAACAATCTCATTAGCAAAAATGACGATTACTTCTTCGTCACAGGAAGTGGACATCTAAAGTACGGTTTCTACAGATGCTTGAACTTTTAGCTTGTCACCATCCCCTTTTACTGACATTCGAAAGACTAATGGCCGTCGTGAGGTCGAAAACCTACGAAAAAGAGAGGAACGTGCGTCTATTACTATTCTCGATTTTCTGCATGGTTAGCAGCTGTCTTTTTTCATTCTCATTATTTGTAAAGATTATTGAAATGATTACAGAATAACAATGAAAAAGGACTTAAACAGTAAGGATGATTATTTTCTGTGTAATTTTTTTTGCTTCTTCCTCATTAAGGAAACGGTTTTTTATCCCTTAGCGCTTTGTTTGCTATTTTTCTAAACTCGATTTATTTTAGCTAATATATTCATTTTTCATCGCTTTTTTACCACAATATACTACAGTTTCCCCATTTCTCGCCTGCTGTTCGTATTTGATAGTGTCGGCCATTTCCATTACGGTAAGAAATGCAGTATTATCTGTCACGACTTCGACCAATCACGATAAGAAGTACAGTGTCGTTGATAACAAGTATAAGTAATCATTCACATTGACTTTCCATCTTTTACATCGGTAAAATATATACACGTCTTTATATACAATATTTTTCCGACTTGATTTTTTTTTACTAAACTGAAGAATTTAGACCATTGTGTGTATTCGTCGAAGTAATTTATCGCTATGGAGAAGCAATAGAGGAGTACTGGACATATCGCACAATTATCAGGTAACTTAAGAGAGTTCCGTATAATCCAATTTGAAAGCGAAAAAGTGAAGCCTTCAAATGAGACGTGACACATACACGACCACCGCAGATTTCTCGGAGCCCCAACAGCCGTGAACACGCACGCGACTCAAACACGCCAATTGTTGCTTTTTCGAAAAAAACCGATAGATTCCTAGAAGATTTATGGGCGGAGAGCACTGGGAAATTATAGCAAAGAATTTGTTTTAGACATAGAAAATGATTGCTATATGAAATTTCTAGGGGTTGTGTGGCGCCGTGGTCAGAGGAGCCCTACAACACACACGTGGAAACGATCGCCGTGCCTATGGCCCACCAATCCCTCCATCCCTCAGGGTCGGCAAATTGGTACCAGACTTGTCTGGGACGATAGTAGAACTGGCTCGATACATCGATAGACCACCGCGAGTCATTGTAAAGGCCAGATATGCATTCAATCACCTCCAAACGATGCTTAATGAAGTCGAATGCATGGCGTATCCCTTTGGGATTGTTCAACGCCGAGAGCTTTATCCTTTTTATCCTTTTTCATGAAACATCTCACCAGATTTTGTCTGCCAAGCAAATTTTTGCCAAAATTTGGCTGGATTTTGCTACTGATAGTAAACACGCTATTTCTCGTAGCTGACCAATCTGTGCGGTAATCACGACCGTCTTAGGAATTGTAGTCAAAGAATATTGAATTAGTGTTCAGAAAAATAAGCTTTGTATCGCCTACATAAGGGTTTATGCCACTTTTCTAGTAATTGGCGATGATTTTGTTAACTAAAAGTCTAACGATGTTTAAAAGGGCAAACATGTCATAGAGATTTTCCGTATCGCTTCAAAAAAGCAATGACCTGCTAAGACGTGCTTTTCATTTTAAGCTTATTCAAAATTAAAACTTCCATAAAAATTCAGTTTTCATTGTGATCAAAGATGGCAAATGGCACCCTATTAGCAAAAAATTCTATATTTCGGAACTTTTCATTTTAATCCACGAATTTCTGTATGAGTTGAGATACGCTCTTTGGAGGTGAATTCGTTAACAGAAAGAGACGAATTGTTCTCGACGATAACGCGCTCCCAGACGTCGCACTACTGGCGCTGCTGACGTTGAACGAGCTGGCTTACGAAACCCTCTCTTTCCACCATACTCGCTAGACTTATTGACTGCCACTTCTTCAACCGTCTTGACAACCTTCTGTGCGAGAAATGTTCCAGAAACCAAATGGAAATCGAAACTGGCTTCAGAAACTTGATCGCCTCCATAATTGCAGAATTTTAAGCAGCTGCTCAAACTGAAATTCATTTTGTTTCCCAAAATGTGTTGATTCCGTGATTGAATGATGTGATTCCAACTTTCTTATTCCGGTTAATAAAGTTTCTCCTGCACAGATCTCCTTCATATGAGGGATTTCGGGCCGGTTAGTGGCGAGGCTACGTAGCTGCAAGGACTGGGAAAAGCATTCACAAAGCCCACCGAAGCTTCGCCAGTTACAAGACCAAAATGATTGCACTCCGATGCCCAGACGGGACAGGTACAGCGTCCAGAAAGGCAATGGAGAAAATCATTCACGAATACTACTCGGATCTCTTCGATAGCCACGTCCACCTTCCGTCATATGAAATAAAGAAGGATGGATATGTTGAACCACCGGTT